CTGGGGCTGGTGTCAGTGTCCAACCAGCTGCCCAATGGCACTGCGGGCTTTGTCTCTGCCTGATGACTTTGCTGCCCTTAGTTCAAATCCCAGTGGTCCTACCAGTTTCACACCAAAGAGGAATATTTCAGTCTGAACCATGCCATTCTGATACCACTCTGAATCCTGCTGTAGCATGGCTTGGAATTGCAAGCTGTGCTGCCCACTTCCAAAAGCGCAGGATGCATTCCTTGCAGCGTATTTTGAAACCTCTGGCCAAGTGTTTCAAAAGTGAGTAGTGATATTTTATTTTATTTTATTTTATTTTATTTTATTTTGAATACCTGGCTTGAAATACTTTTTTAAATAGGGCTGAGTTTTTCAGAAGTTGAGTGCTCAGCCCTTCGTGAAAGCCAGGCCCTTTGAAGGTGCACTACATTGGGAAATCCAAGATCAGCCTGTGCTTTTTGAAATCTTGACCTGAGTGAGGACAAGGTTCAATCATTCATATCCACTAGAGGCCTGCAAAAGAGTGTTTGGTGGATGGATTAATGCCTTTCAACTCTTATCTTTTTTTTCTAGCTGATTGAAGCAATAAGAAGAGCCAGGAATGGAGAACCCTTAGAGAAAATCACCAACAGTCGTCCTCCATGTGTCATTCTGTAGCCTTGGCAGTACTGCCCTTGTCCATTCCTGTGCTCTGATCACCTTCAGTCCCACTTGTCTACCCTTATTTCATTATCTTGCTGCTTCTTCATTCTCTGTCTTCTGGCTTAATTGGTTTGCTCTGTACCTGAGCAGTGTCATGTATGGAAGAGAATTGAAGGTAACATGAATTGCTAATGCTGTATAAAGAGCCTTGTGAGAAATGGAGCTGTTTCACAGGTTGGTTGTGGGGGTAGGTATTATTGGAAATGGATCCTGAGAACTTACGATGCAGTGCTCTTAGTGTGTTGGATACCAATGAGTGGAACCTGTCTGTTAACCTGTCTCACCTTAGACCACCCATACAAGCCCCAGAGAGGAGAGTGTGGGCTCCTCCTCCTTCCTCCCAGCCCCAGCATTTTTTTGTACCTCTATCAGTTATTTTTCAACCCTCCTTTAATATCCACATTTCTCCTACTCCTTGAGCATGAGGAGAACACTTCCTGGCTCACTGCCACCCTCGCTTAGAATCCTCATGGCTTCAGGGTCCCTAAGAGAGACCTGAATGCCACCCCCTTCTAACCCCCAACAGAAGCTGTAGTAGGCACTGTGAGAAAGCTTTGCCTGGCATTGCTGACTGATGAAGGGCTTCTTTCTGTAGGAGATAAAGGTGACCCTCTGGGGCCTTCTGCAGCAAAATGACCAAAGCGTCAAAGGCCTGTTGGTAGAAATCTGCCCGTAAACTATACCACAGAAGAAATTAATTGTTCTTAAACTCTGAATGCTACAGTTAATTATTAAAATCCTCTTCATCACTGTTTAAACCAGTGCTAAAGTGGGATCAGCTAGACAGTAAGGGTTTTTTGGATGGAAACATTATTTTCTGAATTGTTCTTCTCCTGAGGGTACCTTATGTGAGTGACTCTTCTAATTGCCCATTTGCTTCTGCAAAAATGAGCCCCTCCTGTATTCTAACACCCAATTTTCACCTTGCTATTGTGTCAGGACTTTGCCCTTTGACACTGAATGTCAGCAGGGGGAGCGAGCAAGATAGAAGTGCTAAGTGGCTTGGGAGACATGCTAGCATTAAAGAACCTGGTGGTGCCAATGAAATTCTGATTACCCGGCAACTAATTTATGCTTTGAGATAAGGGTGGGTGACTCTATTTATTATATACTGTGTATAAAAAGAGCCAGTAATAAATACAAATCAGAGTAAAACTTCTGTTCCATTTCACTTTGACATCTGCAGCTGTGAAGCGGGTGGTACGTACATCAGATTCTTTGACTGTGTTTTAGGTGAGGGGCACAGTGGGCTTTTACACTCTACCTACAGTTACAGTAGTGCCTAGGGTGAATATTGGTCACACCTTTTATTTGAAGTTAGAGCTTTGAGCTGCCTGAAGTGTGATGCTCTAGGCCAGCAGTTCTTAACATTTTTTGTACCAGGACCCATTTACCAAGATGGATGGCTTCTCCTGACCCACACCCTCCTAGCCCTGCTGGTGCCTGACCCACAGTCCCCTGCCCCCTGAGGCCATGCTGGGTCCCCTCACTCCCAACCTGCAGTCCTCTGCTCCCCCACCCCCCACAGCCCTGCTGGAGGAGGCCCCCAGCTGCCCCCATCCCTCCCCCTA